CCCTGGAAACAGCTAAGCAAGGTCATCACCTCTGTTACTTCAGAAACATTCTTTTCACATGTAAAGGTTTCATTAGCTGCATTTACTCTTGAATTTAAAACACGCCCTGTTCTGTCTTTCAGTTACTATCATTTATGCGCTAATGCTCAAAAGATTTATGCTTAGTGAAGGAAGCAGAAAACAGCTTTTAACCCCCAACAGCTTATTCCTCCTTTTTCTTCAAAATAAAAGACAGAGGTTGGCTAAAATTCCAAGTAGGAGCAACAAGTTTCAAAATTACTCTTCTTACACATACAACTGCCTTTCCCACAAGGGGAAAAAAAAAGAAACAAAGCAAAACAAACCAAAACCTTGTCCCACCTATGTTGTAGAAACATCACTCTCTTACTAACTTTTTTCAGGTATCAAATTCAAAGAATTTGAAGGCACTGCCTCCATGAAATGAACTAGAAAACTGCCACCATTTTTAAAAGGGCTATTCTTGGAATCTGACCAGGAATAAAATCCTTCATAGCATGTGGAGCACCTTGGTCACATAGAGAACAAAAGTCCAATTATCCACTAGTCCAGTGAGTTATTGTGCAATAGCAGGACTCCAGAGACAGCTGGTGAGAGACTTGTTTTCAGGCTGTCTGTCCCTTTCTACCCCATTCTTTAAACTTAGAATCAAAATGTCTACAAAAGTTTTCAGATTTTTTTTCCCCTGCCCTCCACTGGCAAGAGGGTGGAGGTTAAAAATACAGACCAAGAATGTTAACAGAAAACCAAGAGACATTGCCCAATGTAGTCTGTTTTTTCATTTCATATCGTCTGATTTAAGGTGAAGCAAGAAGGAGCATTCATTTAAGCAACTGTAATGAAAAAAGATTGATTGAAAAGTCATTTTTGCTCCATTTCTTATGGATAAGAGTCCCAGGTGTCTGTTTTCCTTATATTTTCTGTTTAATGGCTGTTCCCTATTCAGCCCATAAGCTTCAAGGTCAGCTTCAGGTCAAATTACACTTAGCACAAGATGCTCAGCATCTGCAAACCCAGCTGTGAGATCCCTCTCCCTCCCTTCTTGCACTGGGTCTTCCATTCTGGACTCCCAGCCTAGGAAGCTATATTAACTTTAAACATTCAGGGTATAAATTTTCGTTTTTGCATTTAGATAGCACAGTGGATGCCACAATAGCAAATGCGTTAAAGATGACAAATGACATACTACTAATAAAACATGCTAAGTCTGTGAGGAAAGTAGATGTCTAAGTACATCTAGACATGCTTAAGATTGCAGTTGCTGACTGCTGACAAAAGCCAAAGCATACAGGACAACCTTACACATGGTAGTTGCCACATAGACTCCTACAACTTTCCATGCACACAACTAGTGAGGGACAGTTGCTTATCTCCCACAAAGAAAATAAAATCTAGCAGCCAAAGGAAGGAAAATAAGACTGTAAGTATACTAGGGAAAAGAAATACTCCTATTGCCAGATCTTGTATAAAATCCAAGCCTTTGTAAAGCTGGCTTTTCACCAGTGTTTAGAGAGTAGGGACTTGTACTGATTTTACACGCATATTTGCGCACACTACATACATATATAGGCATTAACTGACATCTGACCCTATCTGTAAGAGTTAATAATTTACTTCCATTAACAGTATAATTTGGAAGACAGAAAACAGCATGTGTTTTCTTAAATAAAAATACTGAGGGGGGAGGCAAGTGAGGAAAAATACCTAAGAAAGGAAAAGAATCTAAATGCACAACTTCAGAAAATTCCCTCAGCAATCTGAACAGTCCGTGAGAGATGAATTCAAGCTGTAAGATGAGTTCACACTCTTTTGTGTCACACTATAAAAGCCCTCCAGGAGCAGCAGCAACTGCAGTTGGTTAGAAAATGGTCTATAAGAGCAAAGTGAAAACAGTAGAGTCCTCTTCGTTCTAGACCCTACTTGTACTTACTCATCCCCAAACACGACACAAGCATCAATGCTCATGATGACCGTCACAGCCTGAGGAGGAGAGCACCGTCCTACCTTTGGATGTAAAGGGTACTCATGCGAAGGTACTCTCTGGTGACTAACTCTCCATCTCTGTCCCTGAACTTCACAACAAGCAGTTAAGAACTATCAGGGAAACTTCCTAAAAAGGCTAACCTGAAGCATCGTAATAACTCTTAAAAGACCAAAACAGAAACAAAAGGTTCTTAATCCATCTTTCTATGAAGAGGCCCTCTGGGTTTTGTCTGCCTTTTAAGGAAGTGAGCTACAGCTCAGCAGCTGCACCATGTGTGAAATATTATAGCACTTGTTTTTAACTGCTGGATGAGGTGCCTAATGATTCTAGGGAGGTCTGGCTACTGCTGCAAGCACTCCACAGCTGTAAGAAGACAGAGGTGTGTATCCAAGTTTACAATACTTGTACATCTGCAGGAATATGGAGTATTTGTATCCAAAACAATTTCCAGTGGATTCTTCGTAATGGAAAATGAAGAAGGATGACACAGAAACAACATAGTTCTGAATAGGGAGACGATCCTATGGTCTTTTCCAACAGGAACACAAAGATCCTTGCTTAGAATTAAACTGTGGGTGAAGTGAAGGACAAAGGACCAATAGACAAGACCAAGTATATCCTGGTGTATTAAGGCTAGACAACTTGCTTCTCATCAGGGTACCTTGCCTCATTAAAAAAAATGGAAGATGTAATATGGAGCTTCTGTCAGTCCCCAGGAAGCTGGTGTTTGGACTACACACAGCTATATATCCTGCACAGAGAGCAGGCCAAAGAGGTCAGGAAGACACTTGGCTAGCTCAAAGACAGGTAGAAAAATGAAGGAGTTAGTTATGAGCTTAGAGCTTTAAAGAAGATGACATAGCCTGAACTGAATGAAAGGCAAGAAAAAAATGAAGAACAAAAAAAAGAAAACTTGTAACTTGTTATCTATTCCCCTATTGGCTGATTCTGCAGGCCTTGGCAGTAACCAGTCTGCTCGTCCATATACAAGATGCTGCTTGCACCTGGGGAATCTTTGGGATTAGCTTCCATATCTTAATACTTCAAGTGGCAAGCCTAATCAAACATTCCAGACGAAATCTCTCTACCAAAAAAAAAAAAAAAATCCTGTCATGTTCCATACATTTGGATATTAAATCGGCAACATCTAACTGTGCCAAAATCCTTCCCAAGACTCCAGAAATAAAATTCCTCATTGTGCCCCGACTTGAATGCCAAAGGGATCCTTTTTATCCCTTCTTTTGACCCTCCCACACAAAAGTTCCCAAAGATGGAACAAGCACCCAATTTCACATTTGGCAATGCTAGAAACAACACAGCAATGGCCTTGAAATGTTTGCCATTTCTACTTGTCTTGACACTAATTGTACACACAAGGCAGCTTCATCTGCACTGGGCAGAATGGCTCAATGCACAGCGGAGTTCAGTGCCTTCAGATCCGCTTCATTTCCAAGCGAGTCAAGCGTGTGTTATAACTGCAGTCACAGCAAGTTTCTGATGTGCTTCTCCAACACTGACCCCTCCTTTTTCTTTTTCTTATTCCCCCCCTTTTTTTGTTTTAATTTTTCCTACAAAACACAAAGTTTCTCTGAGACAATCAGAGCATGACTTCCATCCAGTTGTTTCATCAGGCTAAGCATGCCACCCGCTTTTTCATATTCCCTTTTTTTTCCCCCTTTTGAATAAACTCTCCATTATCAAAATAAAATAACATCATTTATAAAGTACCACCTCAGCAGCACGCCTCAGCCCTCATTTCACAGGGCTATGCCAGCAGCCACAAACAGAATCAAAGCATCCAATTAAAAATCCATATTCATTAACAAACATCATGCATACTATAATGCCCTGCATTGACTATGCCACCACAGGAGATGGGAAACTCGCTGAGTTTTCCTGCTCTCAGTCTGAAGCACCATTTTTGTTAAAGGAAGGGTTTTACCTTTGTTACTCCATGGGCCAGCAGGAAGAGGCCCCGTGTCCTGTTAGCCCATCGGCTAGGACAGCAGAAGCGACAGCTGTTGACCTTTTGCCTTAGAGACATGCCAGACGCAGGACCTTGCCAGGATGAGGAGCACACAGAGAAGACCATGAAACTGTGCCAGACCTTTCCCACTGAGGTCTTTAGGTACCAACAGGGCCCGTCACAAACCAATCTGCGGCATCGCAAGCAGCCAATGTAATAAACTCTGCATATGCTTGATTGATGCAACTCATTGGCTAGGCAGGGCCAGATCCAAGCTGATGTAGTAAATTAGCATATTGCCTTGGCTTCAGGGAAGTTACGTTGATTTACGCCATCAACAATTTACCACTGCAGAAAGTCACATACCATAAGTACAATATTTCAGACCTATACAATGAAGTTATATGAACACATGCCAGGATGATTTATTTATTTGTACCCACAAGCCTGAGATTTACAACTCTTTATAAGTATGAGCTGGGCAATT